TTGGCTGAGTACCGGGGGTGTGAATGAGAGCTGTTCCCTGGGCTGATGGAGTCATGTTAAAGCAGCTTTGAACCTTTCATGACCCATCAGGACACTGCTCTGGTCTGGGAAACTCCAACGTGGGAGTGAGGGATGTAGGGGCAGGGTCTTGCATGCGTGCGTGTGGATGTGGCTTGGTTTTGTTGACCATCGGTCCCTGTCTGCAGAGGGAGGTGAAGTGAGCATGGCTCAGCCTGAGCCAAAGGAGGATTTGGCAGCAGAACACGGTGTTTTGGTAGCCATCACGCTTGCAGGTTTGATGGCTCGCTGTGGTTCCTGCTGGCAGGCCCAAGAGCGGGGCAGGAGAACATCTGACCTGTTTTGTCCCCTGGGTCAGCCATGGTCAAAATGCCCTGGCAGTAGGATGAGTCACACTGTACTGGGAAGCCCATGGGGATGTCCTTGTCTGCTGTGAATGTGAAGGGGTGCAAGGAACTGACTCAAATGGGCTGTGTCAGCGGGTGGGAGAGCTTCAGGGGACAGGTCTCATGGACATGCTGTCCCGAGGGGACTTGTCTGCATCTGAGGCCAGGAGGTGTCTGGCTGTGGTCTGACCAATGTTGGCCAGTTTGATGGTTCAACAAGGAGGCTGTGGGGTCTTGCTCATCTCCCCTCGTTTCGTGGTCTCTCACTGGGTCTAGAGCAGGTCGTGAAGACATGAGATGACATCCCATTGGTGGCTGGTGTATGAAGCTGTTGAGATATGTCCTAAAGAGACATTGAGGCCATCCTCATGGTGTGAGAGAGACATCAACAGCCACTGAACGCAGTGCGGGATGGGTTTTCCACACCATTCTGTTTGTCACCCTGGATTGATGTCTGACCATCTTGTGAAGATGCTGCTCCAGTGGGTTCATAGAGCATCTCAGTGGTAGCCTCTTCTGGGGTTTCAGTCTTCTTGTAGCTGGAAAACTTCCTGCAACACCTATCCTAAATTTTCCAGGCTTTGCCCCAAGCTGATTGCTTCTTCTTGTCCCTACCATGGCCAGAGATCACCCTTTTCTTGGTAACAGCCCTCTCTTACCTTGCCCTCCCTGTCGTACTTTCCATCTGGTGATACATACCCTCCTTGCCGCCCAGGATGCAATTAATGATAATTAATGACAATTAATGATAATCAAAGTTAACCAGAGCCTGGGTGTAGCCTCAAGCGTTGACAAGAGCTGTCCAGACTCTTGCTGTGGGTGCGCTCCCCAGCGTGATGTTGGCTGATGTCAACTTGGGCTTTGCCAAATGACTGGGGACAGTTGGGCCAAGGTGGTTCCAGTAGGTGGGTATGGACCTGAGCAGGGTCAGGTCACTGGCCTCAGACCCTGGCTTGGAGTATTCGATGATTTGGATGTAACCAGGTGGTCCTCACCCAAGAAAACACTGGAGCCGTGGGAGAAAACGGCTGTTGGACGGGGAGGCAGGGAGAAACCTTCCTTCTCCATGATGTCCCCAGCAGATCCCTTCGGGGTGGGCAAGGCAGAGCAGCTCCCATGTGGAGGAGCTGCCCTCCTCGGTATCTCCCAGCCTTCCTCTGGGCATGAGGCCACAGGACTTGCCGTTGGGCAGCAGAGGAACCATTTCCATGGCTTTCAGTTAGTTTTTCTGGTTCGTACAACCCATAATGGTACTCTGAAGAGCAGGGTCTTGTATCAGGGCCTTCTTGTATTAGAAGAAACTGGTTAGATGGGACCCGTTCTTGGAGGTGCTTGCAATGGGGAGCTCATCCCTTTCCACCTCTGCTCCTGCTTCCAGGTCCCATAGGGTCCCCTCCAAGTGTGGAGCCCCTGGCTTGTAATAGCAAGCTCTGGTTGTGTCTCCAAGGTGACGTGGACCAGGCTGGCCCGCTGTCTTCTCCTCCCCAGCGATGGCGTGGTCCTCGGGAAGGAAAACAAGGTGATGGCTTCGTCTGGAGTTTTGGTACGGCAGGCTCGGAAATGTTCCGCAGCTCAGGAGCCCTCTCTGGAAACTGAGAAGTAAAACAACGTGACTTTTGTGAGCGTGCTGTTGCTGAAGATGCAATAAATAAGGAGACCGAACGTCACGGGAGCGATTTACTGCCACAAATGGCTTTTCACTCCGAGTGAATTGGGACGATATCCAAAGTTTGACCTCTGAAAACGAAATTATTAGCCTGGCATGGGGAAAAAATGATCCAGAGCCTCCAGCTTTTAAGCCTCCTCCTTCCATCCATCCCCACCTTGCTTCTACCCAAACGTGCCGGCGCCTCTTGCCAAAGACGCAGCACAGCGCTCCTGAGATGCGGGCAAGTGCCTG